TGGTGGGCTTAGCTTGCAAGCCGCACGCTGCGGAACCGTTTGCGGGGCCGGTCACCGGGAATTTGGATTCTGGAAAGTACTGACCTCTGGAGGTCTCCAGTGGCTGCCTCCAGCCGTGCATCTTTCTCCTTCGTGCCGACACCTTAGCTTACGCGTTTCGGCAGAGAACGCGTGGCTCTCGCGTTTTGATGTTACTTCTCTTCTTGACCGATTGACGGACGTGAGTGAGCGTTCCGTTATTTCTCGGACACCGACACATTTTCCTTACACTGCGGTAGCATATCTATAATGAGCTCAGGGCCACAAGACTTTCGGCTCCAACCCTGATCTTCATGTCGAACTAGCAGGCACTATGAACAAATCTCGACCATCGGCAGTGGATCTACACTTTCAATTTTTATAATCTTTTCTGGGAATCACGGTCTCGAACACTAAACATAGACCCACGGTATTACCGCAGCGTGCTTTCTGTCTGTTTCAAGTTGAGTCTAAATTCCAGGACTCCACTCATTCATTTGAATTCATCTTGCGATGAAATACATACAGGTCATCCACAGTAGTCAAGACGCTGACTCCACCTCCATGAGCATGCCCCTCTCCGTCCCCGCTTTTTGTCCGGATCAAACAGACACATTGCGTCGAGGACGATCGAGCGAGCCACATCAGTTTCCATTTATTTCATGGTAAAATGACCCAGCTGCTGATGCGAATGTCTAGGAATAGACTGTCTTACATTACAGTCTTACAGTTGTCTCAGTCTTGTCTCAGTGACTGACCTCAAGAGATGGTTTGCATCACGCCAACTGTGGCGATCAGTTCAATATTCAGATTGCGGCTTGCTTGAAAAGATAAAGACGATTCACCACATGCGCCAGTTACAACTCGATGTGCATCAGAGTTCGGCCCCTCTCCAGTCTCTCCAGTGAAGCCCTCTATCTTCTTTCAGCGCAGTAAATGTAAGCTGGGGTAATATTCAACGGTCTTATCACCTATGAACTCTCCGTCTGACTTGGCAGCTAATGTGTTTCCGGGCAGGTCCCAGCAACGTGAAGAGGATCAATTATAGGTTGACTATTGGCTCTTCGCCCCTGATCGGAGCCCCAGTTGCTGGACAGGTCGAATTTGATTGATCAGGCACTTATTCTACTATAAAGCGACTGCACCACCCACTGTACCTACTCTCCACCAGACAGAATCATGGCCCAAACAATGTTCCCGTCGTCGGGGCTGCAGGCGCTCACTGCTATGATCAATCTTCTGGGTATGATTCTCCATTTCCATTCCTTGTCGCGTACTCACAGACATTAACCTATTCAGGAATCACGATCCTTACATTTTTCTTCTCTCGAAGGTTACTCGGAGACGGGATGACCCTTCGGCAAGCATGGTCTCGCCTTAGCTGGGCCCGCGGGTGTATCCTGCTCGTGTTTTTGGACTCGTACCTCTTCTTGTTTTCAAGTGAGTAATCCTCCTCGAACAACGTGGACGAGGATTTTGATACAGTACGCCGCAGCTGCCCTGTTGATGTTCGGCGTCGGGCTACAGATGAACAAGACTGCGTGTGCCGCCGGGATCTATCTCTGCGTGTTATTCTATTCGTCGTCTAAGGTCCTGATATACGCGTTCTTGAGTACTTTTGCCCCTTGGTTCGAGTTCCGGCCATGCTCATATATTCGGTGTCCCAGCCGAGAAAGTGTATATCGTCTGGGACACGACTCGGCCGCGCATGCGCTCTCCAGTCTATCTCATTTGTTTGGGGACAGTGTTACTATACGGCGTCGTCGTCATCATCATGGTCATCGGTGCGTGGTGTTCTTTCTCCTCCCTTTCAACGTCTCACTCATTCCATCGCAGGGCGCGTTGAGGAATTCCGGCATGGAGACGGGGCTTGTAAGTCTGTTCACGATGCACGCCTGCGAAATGAGTTGACTTTAGTTCAGGTGTCATTGGATTGAAGCGCATCGCTTCCATCCCTCTGCTTACCTACGATCTGTAAGGTCACTGCACGGCTTCGACGACTCATTCTGATCATCGGCAAAGGTACATCAACGTCCTCCTGACGACCCTGTTCTTGTGGCCATTGCTACGATCGAGGCACTCAAGTGCCCGACTCCGCAGTGTGGCCACCCGGACTCTCGTGTACGTCGTCTTGCTGTTTTCTTGCTGTTTTCTTACTGTGTTGGTGACCATTTTCCAGCGCGTCGGGGGTCGCGCTCACCACGTCCACGGTGAGTTCAATGTAAATCGCAAGCTTTTAACCTGAACTGACCCGGCTTGTAGATTAACATCACAGTGCTCACGATCATGAAGGGGCACCAGCTTGGATGGGTATGTCTCTCCAGTTGCGGGGCGGATGTGCGTACTGTCTGGAACTCCGCGATTAACTTTCGTTTTAATTATTCTCCAGATGATATTCAACGCTTCGGCGCTGTTCTGGGTTACCGTTGGAACACAGCAGCCCACCGTGAGCGGGTCTTCCGCAAATCGCCAACTGAGCGACGTCCCCGCCAACGCCATGCTGCCGCTACCTTCTCCCAGTCCCGCACGAAGCACGTTCAAACCAGAGACCAAGTCGTCCAACATGTTCAGGATGGGCCCCTTGTCGCCGAATCCCACGAAGGAGTTCCAGGTGCGCCCCGTTGTGATACAGTCAAGGCGATTTCCCATACCTTTTGCCCAGATACACGTCACAACTCAGTCCCATGTAAGCAGGAGCCCGCCGACCAACTCCAATCTTTCGGAGATGGAGTCAGACACGAAGATGGCGATCATCGACGAGTCTGGGCCGCGCTCGAGCCATTGAATTTCTTTGCCTCTGGTGTATTTCGTTTCTGGGATCATTGGGTACTAGGGTATTTGTAGATATATACATGTATACAAATATTACGCAGTGAGTGTCCGCACAATGGATTATGCTTATAGTCTATGAATATGATGATGTACTCGGGAATTGGCTCAATGACGAGCACCAGCTGTCCATTGAAACAAAGCCACCCGTCTGTCATCACAAAACGAGGTTTCGCGGATGCCGAGTAAGTCAATACCGGGATACAAGCAGCTATGTTCGCCAACCAGATTTCTGGAACTAGCCGTGGAATTCGAACACCCGATCAAGTTCAACCAAAGCTATGATACAGAACAGCTAGAAACCTCGACTTACCGGCAATGCAGTAAGGCAGAAAGACATCCGAGATAATCTCCGCTCGTTGGCCCGGACTGTATCGTCTCGCAGCTCCGCACGCGACGGAAAATCAAGTTGAAGACATTGCGCGCCTGCCGGCAGCTTTTCTGTAGAAAAGAAAACGTGAGAGCCCAAAGTCAAATATGTGTCGAGCACTCCGGTCCCAGATTTTGATTGACCAACAGCCTTAGGGTGGATGTGTAGTGGGCAACGGTTCCGAAGCAATTAATATCAGTTCACGGTATCCGTCACGGAGAGTGAGTAGATGCAAAAAGACAACCAGCAAGTTTCGAGGTAGTACATAGCCTGAGCCAATTGAATTCTCCCGTGGCCTACAAGACGAGCCGCGGACCGGTTCGGTTCGCCCACATGGTTACGTCCTGACAGCAAAACTCGAAGAATAATTAGGCCCGGGTTGTAAAAAGAACGAAAACCTTCACCCATTTTGCCAAATTTGGTCATCCCTTTGTCTCGGCGCAAACCTAACCTTGTCTAGCCCGGAGCCATCGTCGCGTTAAGCCCGAGTGAGGCTTCGGTCGAGTCATAGACACAGCTGGCTCGCACGCCCACGATTGTAGGGACGTGGGTGAAAATCAAGGGCTATCAAGGGATGACGGGAGGACGCAACCGCCGTGACTTGATGTCAAGTTGATGCGGGGTTTCGGAGAAGAACGGGACTTACGTAACCAGTGATACGTCCTTCTTCTGCCACCGCGCACTCGCGTCAGGCTTCGCCGTTGGAGTGGCTACCTACCTGGAGGCTTTGAACTGATCATTTGCTACTTGGTCTGATCGGACCCAGGTTCACTGCCTTGTGGGCCAACCTATCCAAGCACCCTGGGATTCGGGAAATTCACATTCCCATACTAAAGGTAACTAAACCCCCTCGGGCGTATATCGCTCTGGATCGATGTTCGGAATCTTGTTGGGCTTCCAACCGAGCCGACCAAGAGTCTGGATCAGAATTCCGACCGCTCAACACTGTACTTGATTTCCAACGGCGCGCTTTGGTCACCGCGTATTTGCCGCCTTTTAAATTCTTCACTTTCACTTCTTTGAAAATTTTGTAGATCCAACCTGCACTGCTTCACTCCCTCTGCGCCACGGCACCGATTGCTTTCCGCCCGTCATCAGGCTTCCACTTCCATTGGTGCAGGTGATTCTGTGCCTGCATCGTACATCGACCTCACTAACCCATTTTATTTTGCCGTCGAAAGGCCGCGTGGGTACGGGAAATCTACAGAACCCAACCCAATCCAATCAGTGCTTCGCGGTGATTTATTCATTTCCTCGGGACTTCACAACAGGTCCCGCCTCTCATCCGTAAGCTCAGTTGAGTCCACTATCAAGCCTGCTCTTCTTTGAGGGATGGAGGTTTCATAAAAAAAACTCTGCCTATGCCGTTTCTCAACTCAGCCGATAGCCTTTGTCCTCGTTGTGTTTTCAACCGTACGAATTGATGCAGGGGTCAAATGTGACTACGATTGCACAATTCCGAATTGGTGTAGGGGTCAACATTGCTGCTTCGTGCTTCTTGCCTCGGGCGTTATCAACAATGTCTGTGTAAGTACAATGAGGTATGTCCCTACTTGTCGCTACTATTCGTCTGAGGTCTCAAGTTTGGTTGTGACTGATGATAGTGTCCCAACAGGGGAAAACTGTATGGCACTCCTGAGTTCTGCAACTTCAATGGCTGCATGCTAGCTGCTACGATGTCCCAATTTGAGCCCCCTTGTATGACAGCTCAACTTTGCGCTTTTCGCCAATGTTGGAGGCAAACCTGATTTGATGTATCGCAGCTTTCCGCGCACATTTCACCTCCGAATTGGTGTAGGGGTTAACATTGCCGCCTCTCAGAATTACGTAAATACCTGTGCAGGCGTAAGCTGATGCGCGGCAGCCCGGGGTTCGATTCCCCGATTCGGAATTTTGCTTTTGAACACGTCCGTTTTTTGTTCATTTTTATTTCATCCCAGTTTGACATTGTGTTCTGCAGATCATTCTCACGAATGCTCTTTCCAACTTGTGACTCACTTATGGCATCTGAAATAAGCGTAGACTTGGCCGCGTTTCATGATTTACCACGGTTCAAGTTCAAGTTCGAACACATACGTACACCCTAAAACGTAAGCTGCGGAGCACACCCGGAGCCAATGCTCGTCGGTGAGTAATATTCACCCTCGCCTACTTCCTGTGAAGTGCTGGCCCCAAGCTCGAATTCTTCGTCTTTTGGCGACGCACCACATATTCCGTGAAGCCTCGGTGGATGTTTTCGCCAACAATCGAATCTCGTCAACCATGGACAAAAACAAAGACGCAGAAGTTTTGTTCGCGAGGTGCGTTAATGAGCAGAAGAACGCAGAGTGCACTATCACATCTTCATAGCCCGGATGAAAGACTGTTGGATTCCAGAGACAAATGGACTATCCGCCTTGGTTGAATTCATGCGAGATTTTCTCGGTTACTTTCGTTCCACTTCGCTCACGCTTGAACAGCTCGGAGGAGGGTTTCAAAGCCTCCTACATGACGGACGCTTTGCCGAACCCCAAGAGCACAGCAGCCGGCCACATGTCAAGGCATTCAGGACCAGCGAAAACATGTTCCAATGGTTCGAAAATCCCAGCAACAAACAACGGCTCTCGCGCTTCGCTATCGCGATGCAGGGTACGGCGGCCGGAGAGCCCGAGGACACCATATTCCGAGGTATGGTTCATCGGGTACCATCCCCCTTGAATCAAAGTTTTGCGTCAGGTCTCAAGTGGGAAGAATTGCCCGCTGGGAGCATCATCGATATCGTCGATGTTGGCGGAGGGCTCGGCACTTCTTCCCTTTCCATCGTGAAGAAGTATCCCCAGTTCAAGATCGTTAATCAGGACCGTGGCCCCGTGATTGAAAAGTCCAAATTGGTGGGCATTCAGTGTTGGTTCAGTGGCAACCAGAGCTGATTCGTCTCACGTTTATTCTCGTAGCACTGGAGAGAAGTCTTCCCGAGGCATGTCAAGGCCGGAATGGTTGAATTTCAAGGTAACGTCCTGATTTTGCGCTGGAGTTCGAACTAAAACCGAAGCAGCACACAATTTCCTTGAACCGCAGCCTGCCACAAATGCAGCGGCCTTCCTCCTCCGGCATGTTGTACACGACTGGTCCGACACGAATCTGGTGATCATGCTTACCCACTTGCGCACAGCGGCTCTCCCCACGATGGTAATTCAACACATATTTTTGTTCTGTGCTGCCTTCAACTCATGCCGTTCATGTTCAGAAATTGGTCATGCCGGAATGGTTGAATTTCAAGGTAACGTCCTGATTTTGCGCTGGAGTTCGAACTAAAACCGAAGCAGCACACAATTTCCTTGAACCGCAGCCTGCCACAAATGCAGCGGCCTTCCTCCTCCGGCATGTTGTACACGACTGGTCCGACACGAATCTGGTGATCATGCTTACCCACTTGCGCACAGCGGCTCTCCCCACGATGGTAATTCAACACATATTTTTGTTCTGTGCTGCCTTCAACTCATGCCGTTCATGTTCAGAAATTGGTCATCATCTACAATATTACAGCTTCTGCGTCCGACGGAGTATCTGCCAACCCCGAGGTCAACCGTATCCCGATTCTTGGAGATCCTCGCAAATCTGCGTCTCTACCATTACTGACGAACTTCGGCATGGCTGCGGCTCCCTTTTACTACTATCACTTAACGGTACGCTGCTCTCCTTTTCCAGTCCTCCCCGATCCAAAACTCCACCTCCTAGGTGCGCAACCTACTTGGCGGGACAGCGCGCACGCTGGATGGTTTTTACAGCGTGCTACTGCAGTCCGGTTGGAATCTAGTGGAGGTTTACCACTGTCCGCGGACGGATTCCAGATATGTCATTGCAGCTGCAGTCCTGTGAGTGTGGTAAATAGTTATCTCCCGCAAAAAGAAAGCGCGAATCTATATAAATCGTGTTTACGTCCAATCTCATCGATACTGTTTTGTGTCTATAAAACACCATTGAACATCAAGTTATGTATTCCCAAAACCCTCAACGTGCAAAATCACACTCGGGCCTCCTCGCAATATATCCACGAACCTTCCGGCACCGTCGCTAAGTGCACGTCGCACGCTCTGCGCCAACTCCGTTGTTCCGCACACTGAAAAAATACAAATCAACAACACGCGCCCGGAGGATAAAAGTGAATTACGGACCACAAACGCCCACTTCTCCCCGCGCCCTCTCAATCTCATGTCCCAGAATATCCGCGACATCGGGCCGCCCGTACACGAGCTTCACGCTGGGAATGGCGAGCATGCGGTCGCGTTCATTCGCCGTCGTCGCCGCGTTTATTTTCAGTTTCTCCGCGGTTGGGATCGGGTCCGCGCCTACGCAGGCTTCGGCGTCAGTGAGGACAGAGCCATCGAGCGACTGCGTGTCCTCCGGCGCGGTGGTGACGTGTAGGCGCACATCGATAGCGAGGCCCTCATCAGTAGAAGAAACGACAGAGAGGACGTGCGTTACAGCCCTCGCGATCCAGTTGATCTGGTCTTTGGGTAAGCTGGGTAAGTATCTATTTCCAAGGACGCTTGGGGAAACAATCACAGACCGGGATCCCGCACTGCCCAGACGAGCACAACGCGTCTGCATCGCGGATTCGCCTTTGCTGACCTGGCGAGCATGAATTTAGATTTCAACCATGTAAATTGATCAGATGGCGCACTGCACAAGATCGAGAAAGAGCGGCAGCGCAAAACTCACGCCGGAGCCACCTAACGAACATATATCCAAATCCACTCCACAGAATAAGTTGAAAGTGGACTCACCACAGATTAACACCACGCTCTCGAACCCACTCAGAACCGGCGGTGAGCTGTACGGGCCGTCTATGAACGCCTTGAACGAGCGGCTTACGCCATCAGAATCAGGGTGTGCGAGAACTGCGTTGAGCAGGCGCTTCGTGAATCCTGTGCGCACGCGGAGGATGAATGTGAGCCTGCGCGCGCCGTTGGTGACAGCGGTGGCGGTGGCACCGAGATCATCCTTCTCCTTATTCCCCTCGTTCGAATTTGAGCCCTCTTCGGCATCGTTAGACTTGTCATCTTCGACGTCTGGGGACGCCATATTGTTGTCGTGCGGGGCATTCGCGATGGTGAAAGGGTGTGCCTCTGTGATGGACGTTGGATAAGCGCCAAAAATTGTGAGGTATGCGCTCTGCCCCGCACGCCAGACAAAGTGCGGGGGCGCATCAACAAGAATGCGGAGGAAATGTCCCTGTGCGCCCGGGAGGACAGTCACGGTCGCATTCGACGGTATGCCGCGCGCTTTCGCGTTGAAGAGCTGGGAGTTGAACAACGAGATCCGAACAAACCGCAAGAAGCGGTCGAGCCCCCAGAGGAAGAGCGCGGGCCAAATATAGCTTCCGTACCTGCGTTTTATGGTTAGGCTTTAGAGGGAAAGGAGAAGGAGGGGTGTCAGAGATCTACCCAAATTCCGACGAGTGGATATATGCGCCAACGAGCGTGAGGATTCCGAGGCCGAGGTGGAGGTACATGAACAGCTCGTAGTTGCGCGCGCGAAGGGGGCGTACGGAGAGAAGACAGAGAAGCGTGAGGGCAGAGGCTCCGGTGACGCCGATGCGGAACCAGTATGTTTTTGGGTCATCTGCTAGTCTGAAAAAAAAAAGCAAGTTGAGCTAGCGTGCTCCACGGGGAAGAACTGCGAGAGCATACACGAGGACAACCTGACAGGAAAAAAGGACAAGGTGTTGAGGTGTCGGTACTTGAAAAGAATATCAGGGACGTACACGGCCAAAGGCATGAACCCAAAACATGACGCAAATGACTCTCGCCATGACACGGTGTAAATGCTCCATCTGCAGTTAAAGATATCAGAAAGGGGAGATCCACGCTACACAGAGGACACGCCTTGTCGAAGCTAATGCCGGTAAGAACTACGATTCAATAGATTAGCTACAATGTTTTGTCACTCAAAAAACAACAGACGCACACGACATGATATTATTCTTCATCCCGAACGCGGTCATCAGGGGCAACTGCGAGCCTGCAATGTGCGCACAGCGGTTCGCCCAGTATTTCGGATCGTATTTCACGCCGAGGGTGTTTTTCGCTGGGGCAGGATGAATGAGTATCGGCGATCCGAAGTGGGACGTACAGTTTATAAAGGTCCACGTAAAGAGCACTGTGAGATACATCGCAGCGAGAAGAAAGTCGGCGACGTTGAGCGTGTAGGATCCTGCGATGACGATGGACCAGCGGAATATGATTGTGCGGAAGAGGTTGAGAGTTGCAAGGGGTAGGCGGCGCCATGACACATCGTGCCTCAAGGGCCCATCATTCGAGGGCGGTGGGCGACGCCGGGTGAGATAGGCGTACAGAAGGGAGGCCGCGTGGCAAGCAGCGACAAGGCCGATGAAGGTGGCCATGAAGTACCATACTTGCTTTGGGTACAAGTTGGCGAGCAGGATGCGGGGAACACGGTCGGGGTCGATGCTCTGCAGGATGGACGGATCCATCTGGGTGAGGAAGGAGACGGAGCTGCACGGGCATGCTGACAGGAATCGTCTTATAACGGGGGGGGGATGCGAGAATTCAACCGCGACGAGGGAAGAATAATCCAAATGCAGTTATTGAGCCCTGTCATCCGACTCGTTATCAGATTAGCGCGGTGACGGCGGAGATTTCATCCAAGGCTTGAAACTGCCGGGTAGAAAGGGTCGAAGGAAGTGAACGATTCTAACCACAGCTTCAGTGCGGTATCAAAATCGGAGGCCACTGGCCTTGGCTGTTAAAAAACAACCACGCCCATAGGTCACCTGGTGGGTTGAGACACGGGATATTCGATAACCACGATTTCCGTGATCTCCATCTCTACCATTCTTCTTCTTATCAGATTGTCGCGTGGGATAAGATAAGCAACCATCGATAAGAT